AACACCGTGGTCTTTCTGTTCGTCAACATTTGAACGTGGTTGCCCATCGCGGTCGTAATGAAAAGGATCATCCTCCTCATTGGTCCTTCTAGTACGGAGCCTTAAATCTAAACACCTTGAGAAGTCAAAGCATGCCTTGAGGGTTTGACTGCTCACGCCACACTAGCATGTTACTGTCTACGGAATTTTGATGGTAAACTATTCCTCGAGCATCGTAAGCATCCGTGGTCACCCGCCCAAATTTGGCATGCGACCCGTTATTATTACTTACCTTGGAAGGTCGTATCATGCCTTGAGGATTTGACTGGTCATGGCACATAAATGTGACAGTATCTACAGTGTTGACGTCCTAAGCTATTCCTCGCGCACCTGCAGCTCCTATTGTCACTCGCCCGATGTTAGCATCTGACTCATAACCATCACGCATCTGTATAGGTCGTAGCAATTTTTGAGCGTTTGAACTGTTATGCAGAATTATTATTGCAGTGTCTGCAGTTTTGGCATGATACTCCAATCGCCCCGCATTCTAAGCCTCCGTGATCACTGGCCGGATGTTGACAGGCGACCCGTGGCCATCATGCACCTGGACAAGGAGGTATAATGCTTTCAGGTGTGAGCTAGTTGCAAAATGCTTCTCCTGTCGCAGACCTTTCTGGTCGTCTGCAAAAGATTTTATACCAAGTTACGTTTCCATTGAATGGGAACAAAACTCAGATAATGCAAATACTGTCCTTTACAGGCATTGTTATGGAAGACCCTGTTCTGTCTGCCTGAGATTTCTAGTAGCGGTAAACATGTGCTCATGAAATATCCGCATCCTTTGCATCAGCTCTTAATTACCTATCATTGCTTCTTAGTATATATGCCCACCAGATTAGAATAGTTGGATGACAAACGGCTGATCGTGTGACAAAACAATATGTAGTAGGATGCAGTTTGACAGTGAGACGTGTAATCGTTTTGAAAGGTGCCAGTGTGAATGTGAATTAGTTAGAACACCGAAATTTCACCCGCTGTACTCCCAGACTAACTTTCCTTCGGTGCCCGTGTGCTATACATAAGCCCGACCTCACTGCTTTAACAGTGTTCAAGACATTCCTAAGTCGGTGTGTTGCCATCCTTGCGCTACCTCAGCCACAGCGACTGGCAGTGGTTCCGAGTTTGGGTCTAACATTTTCCAGGCTCTTAGCACCCTCTTTTGCTTTGCATTCGCCACCGCACCGCAGCCTACAATCCGGCTGCCAGCTTGCTGGTCGAGTGTTTTCGTCTCCAGCTGAAATGCACTTTGTGCTCCACTGAAGATCGTGACAGCTAGTTGGACTTGTTTGTGTTGGGCATCGGCTCCTATCTTAAGCCGAACTTTGGTTATACTTCCGCTGAACTAGTCTCCGGTGCAGTCAAAGATCTAACCTTATTCCAATGATATCTGCGGCAGTTTGAACTGTCGACCGGCCCTCGAAGCTGGGGACGCACGCCCGTCAAACTACCAACTTCCCTTAACCTATTCTCCACTAGCTCTTATAAAATATACTGTTTCGCCTACCTGTTGTGTTGTGATAATCGCCTTTTTTCAAATTGAATG